ACACCCCCCCCCCCCCCCCGCCAAATGCTTATCGACTGAGGCAGCTCGGAACCAGCAGTCATGAAGAGGTCCGGAGCCCCTATGAAACCTCCCGGTAAGAAGCAGGCGTCCAACCACGCAGCTAGTGACTGATGGGGTGCAGAGTGTGCTGCTTCATCAATCTTGGAGACGGTTGTCTTACAAGTCTGGGCTTTGCGATACTCTCACTGCTGCCGGCGGTCGTTAAACTTCGCTCGGCCCCAGTCAGCGTCTTTTGCCGCAGAGTCCTCGGGCACGAAACGGCAACAGCAATGCGTCCTTTGGCAGCTATCCTGACCTGAGGATAGTGTGTAACTTGCTCCTGACTGATGTGTGGTTGTCGAGGTACCTCTGGCAATCCTGGATACAGAAGAACCCTGGACGCCAGGCTAGGCAAAACGCGGACACGTGGCTGCTTCGATCGAAATTCGCTCGACCCACTTTTTATGGCCGAGGGTCTTGATGACATCAATCGGGCAAGTCACCAAAGCAGCCATCATTCCTGTACTTAGGGGCTGAGTACTTTAGCCCCAAAAAGGTTAAGCTTTTGCATTCTAGTAGGAATATATATATATATTATATTATAAGCCTGAAGACGTTTAAGGTCACCTACTCAACCCCTACGAAATACTAAACATGAAGGCGCCTATAATCTACTCAGCCCCTAAGAGCTAGTATCGGTAATTATTAGATCCCCATACCCTAAACCATTAACCCTAAACCCNNAAACCTAAACCCTAAACCCTAATAACCCTCAACCCTAAACCCTAAACCCTAAGCCTCCTCAAAATATCCTGAAAGCCCCCCTATAATCCGCCTCTTCGGGTTACCCTCCGTTCTTCATCAGTCCTGGATCATTGAAAATAATGTCGGGTTTAGGGTTTAGGGTTTAGGGGTCTGAATAATTTGAATAGGGTTTTGGGGCCCATTGTACTTAATTATAATAAGGAGCCCCCCAAAATAGTGTTGGTAATTATTCAGGCCCCTATATTAATGCCACAAAATTTAGGGTTTTTGGGTCTAGACCCGACCTTCCCAGGTGCCTATAGACATTGTCGTCCTCTGCACGCTATGTTTACGTCCTATGTATGTACATACATATATATATATATACTTATTTATTTATTCAATTCTTTATACATCTATATTTGTATATATATATATATGTCTCTATATATATATATATTATATACATAGAGAGAGAGGGCTCCTTTGTAAAGCATCACGTGGGTAACGGGCCTGTTGGCGTTACGTCCACTGGTGATTGCCAGTGATGCAGCTTCTGCACTCTTGGCTCTAACACAGTACTAGGGTTTAGGTTTCAGGGTTTAGGGTTTAGGGTTTAGGGTACTATCAACATAACTTAACATAGTAACCTAAACCCTAAACCCCTAATAGCCCTAAACCCCTAAACCCTGCAACTTCCCTGACTTCTTAAAAGAAAGGTTCTGTGAGCCCCAGGTTGAGAAACTCGGGATACGGCTTCGTGAGGTATCCAGAGCAGAGGAAGGAGCTTGTGGGCCTCAGCGTTTAGTTTTTTTTAGGGTTTAGGGTTTAGGGCTTAGGGTTTAGGGTTTTTGGGTTTAGGGTTTATTTTGCTTGTTTTTTGGTTCAGGGTTTAGGGTTTCTGGTTTAGGGCTTCGGGTTTAGGGTTAGGGCTTCAGGGGCCTGACTGTGATCACAGTCAATGTTCGAAATCGATCGGGTGGGCTACTGAGGTACCCCAAATGAAAGCTAGTAGGATCCTTATAACTAATAACCATCCCTGAAAAGGGAGGTCCAGTGAAGCGCAGATAGGTGCATAAACTCCTACAGAACACGGTACAACATACCGCTAGTTTCCCAGACCCCCGAAAGGATCCAGAAAGTAAAACCCCTAATTTGGGACCCTATACTACTAAGGGCTCTTGACAGGAACCCCCCTTAAGGGATCTACTTTTTGGATCCTCCCGGGGGCTGGGTTCAGTCGGACTGCAACTCCTTGGCCACCTACCCGCCACACCCCTGACAGTAGTGTTCCTTAGATACCCTTCCTTATCTTAGGGGCTGAGTACCCTGGCCCAAAAAAGGTTTATTAACCTTTTTCAAATATTATAGTAGGATCCCTAAACCCTAAACCCTAAACCTAAAACCCTAAACCCTAAACCCTAAACCTAAAACCCTTTATATAAGGCCCCAAAGGTTACCCACTCAGCCCCTAAGTTCTACCCGGAAGCCCTGCTAAAAACCGTATTAGTGAACACGGTAGCAACAGCTGGAAGGAACCGAAAAGGGGCCAAGACTTAGGGTTTAGGGTTTAGGGTTTAGGGTTTAGGGTTTAGGGTAACCCTAAACCCTAAACAACAAGCTGCACAGGAATGTTGAGTCATGTGGGAAACCAGAAGTGTCACAAGCACAGCAGAAGTCGGCTCCTGCAGCACCACCGCAGAGGAAGGAGTGGGTCAGCGTTCTCAAGCCTTCGCCTGGAATCCTCAGGCATGTATGTAGCTGTGTGTGTGTATGCATATTTGTATTTATATATATATATACAAGTATACATACATATACTTTATGTTGTATGTATGTATGTATGTCTGTCTGTCTGTCTGTCTGTCTGTCTGGCGGCATCACTGTCCTTATAAGACAGACAGGCAAGCTGGCAGGCAGGCAGGCAGGCAGGCAGGCAGACAGACACACAGACATGCATGCGTTTGTTTGCATGCCAACATACACACACACACACACGCACAACTGCCTACCTACGTACGTACCTAAACCAGACAGACCGACTGACGTGCAGACAGACAGACAGCCAAACAGACGGACGTGTACATAGACACACACAAGACTACACAAACATATACCTAACACACACGTGCGTATACACACGCACATATATGTGGAACACATACATGTAGGCTGAAGTAGGTCGATGTAGATTCAGCAGGGTGACGCAGTATTGAGCTTTCCTTTAAAATACTGGCAAAGGCTCCAAAAACACATAAAGCAACAAAAACAGGATATCCCGTATAAACCCCCCTTATAATGGAGCCCAATAAGGTAAGAATATCCCTATAAAAATGCTTATGCTTATGTCCTTTTTGGGGTCCCTAAACCCTAAACCCTACACCCCTAAACCCTTAAAACCTAAACCCCCAAACCCCAAGCCCTACAATGCTTATGTCCTTTTTGGGTTGCTGAGCAAAGGCTCTCCGACTCAGATCCTCCTCATCACCGGCACAAGCTCGACTTAATCGGTGCTGTCGGGTTTAGGGTTTAGGGTTTAGGGTTTAGGGTTTAGGGGCTGTGGGTACCTTGATAAGCCTGATCTTAAAACGCAAAGAAGAAACGACCTGGAGTGGTGTGCAATATAGTTGTTGACGGACCATAATG